TATCGATTACAGGCTTTTCTGTGATAAAGTCTCAATACGTCTCAATCTTCATTCAATGTGTATAAAATACATCAGCTTTATTTGACAGAAGTATTTATGTACATGACAAAATCGTGTCTGTAGTTGATCATAATTTGTACTCTTTGCAATAAATCCTTGTCAATCCGTCAAATACATTAGTCTATCCGTAGTTTTCAGACAAATGTAAAGAATGATAAATATGTCACTCGCGTCATTTCCGCTATCCGATATTTTTAGAAATTATAAACGTAGAAATTACTATACGCTTCATTTCTGTTTTAATAATCCATAGCGATTTTATGATAATTGCCCTAAATGCACCAATTAGGTGTAATTCAATTTTCCCTTGTTTATTCAAACGTGTTATTCGAGAATTCTTAGTCTGTGTTATTAAACGGACAAGTATATAATATAATATGGTGTTTTTTAAGCAATAGATCCTTCATACCCGAGAGTTAAGGTTTCAGTAAGGAGAATTGCAATGTAATAATCTGTAGACAAACTGCAACATTAAACAGCATTAATCGAAACAAATCTGTTTCATTCATTAAATTCGGACACATTTCACGTACTTTGGTATCTTTTTATATCTATGCACCACTGCTTTCAATTTTGACATTAGATTTGATCAAATCTGCCAAATGTGTAAATAAAGTTTTGTGTATTTTTTTTTTATTTTTTGCATCATTCGTCATTTTTTTTGAATTTTTGAATTTTCTAGAATGTTTTTTTATATATATTTTCGTCAGAATTATCGAAAATTAAAGAGGTCGTTAAGTTATATTCAGAAAGTTTTTTTTCTGAATAATGTTGTTTCATAGTTGTTGCATCTACTGCGCAATTACTATACGCGCCAATAAATTATATTTATGTGATTTATTGGTCGAGTCGATCATTAGTCTAAAACCTTGACGAGTTGTTGACAGTATTTCTGGAATGGTTTGGCAGTTATTCATATTATGCAGGCTTTCCAATCCACATTTGACAGATGTGTCAGAAACAGAACTAGTGATTAGCTATCTATGTTAGCTTTTACTTATATCTTCTGTTTGTTTAAAACTTTTGGTCATGTGTTTGTTTCACGTTACGTTGATATTATACGAATGAAATGCATCGTGGATTGAAACACATCATAAGCCATATTTCAAAATTTACCTTGCAAACAACAACTGTTAAAACAAGGCGTTCCGATACAGTGAATACATTGTACACCCATTCGTGTGCCTTGAAATAATACTTCTTATATGGTATTGTATTAGCTTCAGCTACTATGAAAATACGTTACTCAGAAACATTTTTCTATGTAGATTTATATAATTTAATATGTATTTCTAGCTGTGTGCCCTTATATTAATTTCATCTATTTTTTATGTTATATTTTGTGACGTGTTCATTTATTTTTATGTTGTAGGTTTTCTAAGAAAGGATAAAATAGGTTTACTTGATAATGGTAGGCATAGATAGAAAAGTACTCTGAGTAGCCCAAACTCATGGTGATGGCCTTGTTCAGAACACAACAATCAATTCAAAAAAGCAATAAGATTGGAACCTTAACGCTTAAATAGCTGCTTAATTATTATAACGGTGATGGTGTTGATTAAAAGTATAAATAAGTATGATTGATTACATTCACAATTTTATTTTGGACTATTTTAAGTGTTATTGCTGAAAAGTTACTGGTGTAAAAAGCCTTTTGGTGAGAATTGTTTGTGAGGCTCTGAACAAAGACATCTAAAGATTTGATATAACCTGTATAGTCAGGACACTATATCCAATATATAGGAAAAACTAGAAATTGTTATCTCCAGCGCTCGCTCGTTTCTCTAATGGTATGATGGTGTGTTATGCGCTGCTGCGTTTATTTACTCTTTCCTGGACTTTTCTATTTGACTTTTCTACAGTGCTATTTCTTTCTGTACTTTTTGGACCATTCTACGAAGCTCTTCCTATTTCTTTACTTTACCTTGTCCTAATTTCTGTTGATTCTGGTTCCAGTAAAATGGTTTACATTTATTCACTTTTCTCGTTTTACTTACAAAATATTTAATTTATTTATATTTTTCGATTAATATTTATTACGAATAGTAATATCATTTAAAAATAAATTTTGTTATGCCTTTACATGCATTTTTGAAACTAAAATTAATATTTTATCTGTCTCTTTTTCTCTGATTTTTATTAGAACCCGAAGGAGGTTGATTTCTTCATTTTAATCTTGTATAAACGATGGGGGAAAGGGATACGATTACTGAGTCGCCTATTCAGAATTAAGTTCAGCTTGCACAGCATAAATCTCAGACCACAATATCCCTGTAAAAAATAAAATCGTTATATATGATACTTATTTACATTAGGTTTTCTATTATAAAAAGAAGGACTCATTTTTTTCTTGATGAATTAGCTATTTAATTAGTCAAATAAATCCTAATTATGAACACGTGTCTAGTATATCATGCATTATACATTACATAAACTAATGCACACTGCACATGTTACTTATCTACAGACAGTTTCGCGGCAATTAGAAGAATGGTAATTTGTCATTTTAAACGTTTGGCAAAAGTTATAATATACTGTTTGAACAGTATGCAGAATTTTCTTGTGCTTCTGATATATATTTCAATGGATAAAATAGAACTCTTATGAGCCTAAATTAACAAAATCACGGTCTGAATTTCATCTCCGACCAAACATGTGGGTAGAATCAAATTGGATGTGTGAAGCCGAATAACATGCCTTTGGTCAAGTCCAAAGGTGCTACACCAATGAAATTTGGATTGAATTCAGTCTCTGAAGAATCTAATTTAAGTTTCTTATAATGATCATAAGATAAGGTGTATTCAAATTGATTTCACCGACAGTGAAATATGCCTTATCTATATTCCATGTTAATTTTAGATCTTGTATTAACGTCATCGGCACATTCCTAATACAATTTAACATCAAAATAACTTTCATGTGAAATTTTCTGTAAGAAATTATCATTAATTTTTAAACTACCTTTTTATAATTTGTTTAAGTTTGTTCTATTTTAGAATTCTGAAGGCGTCTCAAATAATTTTATGCGTGAATAAAATGAAGAAATAACTTTATTTGATTTTTTGTTTAAATCTTATGATTTATCAGAAATAATTTGGGGAAATCGGTTAAACTTCTTTCAAAAGAAATAAGATGAAACAAAATTAACAAAAGTTGTTTTGACATTTCAGCCGTAAAACATCAAAGAGTTAAAATAAGCACCGAATTCGTCAAAACACTAAAAAGAAGAATTGCAAATGTTCACGATTAGCTTGTGACCTTGAATTTCTGGTTTTATTTAGTTTCTGCCAAATTTCTAAACATAATAAGCTAGTGCCAGAACTAAGAAACGTTACTGACAAATAAAAATATATCTTTAAAAAAACCTCTAAGGGTGGCACACTGGCTGTTCTATATATCTTCATACATTAGGAATCGAAATCTGTGCTCTATCAATTGGTATTTTTAGGTTTCTTCTAAATATTGTAACTCTGATATATCTTAAGGTAAATTAAAAACAATTATGGCGTTAAAGGTATAAAATTTGCTTTCGTGCGCAGGATATAGTTAAACGTTTTCGTTAGACATTTAATAATGTTCCCACGACCTACAAACCAACAACAGATGGAAATAATTGTCAACGATCCAATATGCACTCACAATTTGATGCATTCCAAAAAGGGGTTTAACAATCGTATAACTGTCTCGCCAAACTTCTTGAAGAGTACACAAAAACTTGGAAAAAAAGTTTTAAAACTAATTTAGTACGATGTCTGAAAATAGTAAAAGCTATTAGTTATTTGAAATAGGAAACTGACATGCTGTTGACATTCAACTGACATTCAACTGACATCTGGTTAACAATCATGATCAAATCATGTCAGGTTTGGGTAATTGGAATTTGATCAATTACAGAATCTATTACAATCTTTCAACTAATCAGATTAATAAGGTTTACTAATGTCAGGTTGAAATGACCTTCTGACCAAGTTTTTCTAAATATAAACTTATAGCTTATAAGGAGATGTAAAGAGCTAAACCTTTACTAAACTCTATTTGTGCCAGTACAATTTACCATTCAAACTTTAAGGTTTAAATATTGGACCCCAACCATGATCAAACCTGGTGGTGAATTTTACACCCGAAGCATGCTGTATCGACAATAGTGGATGTTCTTTAGACACCAGCCTAGCACTGCTACTAAAAAGGATACAACAATCATTGTCTCCAGATTGAGACGGTTGACCACTCCCATTTGCCCACTGACCAAACAATGAACCGTAGATATAGTATTATATTATATAAGAAGTATATTGAAAAGTATATCTTAAAAAGCATATCCATATACGATTTATTTGATTTAATTTGTTTTTGATATTGCTTATATAGCTCAATTGCATGATTTTGCTTTTATATAGCGCAATTGTATGAGTTTGCTTTCTTGCTGCTTGATTTATGCATGGTTTTGCTTCAATGTATTAGGCAGCATGTATTATATTATGACATAATTTTGTTCCTGTACCTTAGCATCTATAATTTTTCATCAACGTTTGAAGACACCCACGATCAAATGTACAAAATGCATTTGCACATATTTTTGTATCCTATCAATGAGTCCAAAAATCACCGCGATTAGCGGTCTGTACTGTCAGCTCTGTATACTTTGAAAAATTATAGAAGCAGATTCAACCTATTTTAATTAAAAACCAAATAGATACTTTAAAATGCTAATTTGAAACGTTGATTGAAAAGAATATATTTTAGATTTGCTTTAAATGTCGTACATTTAAGTTCAAAGATTTCACTTTGTAGAGCGGCAACAGGGATAATTTCTGATTAAATCGGACACATTAATATTATATTGAAGGGATTGGCACAATCCACCTATAATATCAGTTGGTCTGAGAGATGCCTCCACATTAACATTTTGATGTCATTTCATTATTTCAGAAGAGTACTGTGGTGGAAAACCTGCTGATGTCGTGTTTTTATTGGATGCATCCAATTCAATTTGGGGACCGGATTTTAAAAAGCAGTTGGAATTTGTCCAAAACATTGTGTCGATGTTCCGTATTGGTGAACAATGGACTCGTGTTGGTCTTGCTACCTTCAACAGCAAGGTTCAAGTACAGTTTCAGCTGAATTCATACTTGAACAAAACAGCTTTACTTGAAGCTATTGGAAATGTTGAGGAAACGTATGGTGATGCTACGGATACGGCTAGTGCTGTAAGGTATATGAGAAAGTACATGTTTAGTAAGCGGCACGGTAGTCGGAAGAAAGTTCCCCGAGTTGGTGTGGTCATCACTGATGGACAATCTTCAAATATCTTACGAACTGTGATGGAATCATCCAGAGCTAAACGCCAGCACATCCACATGTTCGCTGTTGGTGTTGGTAGTATGGTTAACAAACGTGAATTACGTGGTATTGCTAGTCACCCTCCCATGGAGTACATGTTCCAGGTGTTAGGATATGGTGCTCTAGGCTCCGTCAGGAATATATTAGCAGTTAGAACATGTACAGGTAGGACCAATACTGTTAACTTACTTCCTACCATTCCCGAAGGCCTCACCAGACTAAATTTCTATCCCTTTCTTGCTACGTAATATTGTAATGATGATACAGGTGGAGTAAATTCTCAAAGCATAGAAGATAAAGAAAACATAGATGTACTTTTATTAGTAAAGGATTGAAGCAAAACAGGTTACATACCCTGATCATGTATAGTATGTCATATACCAACGCTCACAAAAATGTCTGGAAGGGCCCCGTGTTTCTACGACGAATCGCGATGTAGATAATTCTGCATGCTCAAAGGCAAACAATAAACCAAATGTGACATTGAGGTCTATATTTCATATTATAAATCATAATGATGTATTTTTATTTGAATAGTCACTAGTAAACCAACACCAGCTTTAACAACTAAACCTGCCAGAAGAACAAGTAAGTATTGATTCTATTGCTTTTATTGTATTCAGAGATTCAGTAATAGGTAGGTAGGTCGCGGTAGCATTAGAGCCATTTCTGACTGTGGCGTAACAACGTATTTACAGACTCGTTAATAATGTTATTAATGGAATCTGCTTTAAGTTCAGAGAAGATCCTTCCATCGTTTTTGCAACGTTTAAGTACTGTCCATTTGGTTGTACCGATACAATTTGTGTGAAAAGGTACATACCAAATCTTGTTAGAACACCGACGTGAATGACTTAATCATTATTAATTCAAACATGTAGCATGCAATATCGCCATATACACAATTGCAAATATTGTTGTATGCCAAATTGCTAGATACAATATTGTCGAATACATACTTGTAGCAAACAATCTAGCTGAACAGAAACGTGCAAGATACATTCTCACCGGATGCAAAACTGCAAGACCATTCTCACCGGATGCAAAACTGCAAGATACAATAACATCGGTTACAAACTCACAAAATATACTCTCATCGAGTGCAATACTTCAAGATACAAAAAACGCCGTCTACAAAATTGCTATACACAGTCACTGTTAACAAAAAATGCAGCCGGTCGAATACGATGATGTAATTCGTGAAACTATGATTAAATTGAATACATTTTATGCATTTGCTAATCTATGGATGTCGGCATACGGGATAAAAAATTGTTTTGCATGTACAACATTAAACTAGAGAGGACAAATCACTCAAGTATACAAACTGTTATACAATTGCCTCATTATAAAGCATAACTGTCAATGTACTATAGGCAGGCATTGAAATTTGATGAACTGCACCAGCATTCAGAGTTTCAGCAAGACTTGATGTCTACATAGACTAACTAGAGCACGTCAAGATACAAGCTGATAACATCTGTACTATGTTTTCAAAGGTCAATTCAATTTTCAAGTAAAACTTATGATATACAAGTTGGATATGAAACGAAGAGTCACTGTAAGTTTCAGTTCACATCGGCGTGGATTCATTTCTAAATTTACAGATTAGGCCAATACCTACAGTATGCTATAATTCTTTATAACGGTTTTCGTTTTCCTGTATTTCAGGCAAATTACAAGACCAAATGGCTTTCTAACAGTATTCTATCAAAAATGCCATTAAATAAAGAAATAAAAAATTTCGAAAATTTCATGATTAGTATTCACATTTTAAATTGAACACTCTTTCAACAAAATATGGTTTAAATCAAGCTGTATTTGATTCGTTCGCCTGCAGTGTGATTTTTCTTTAGTGAAATGGTGAAACTGAGATCTCGTGTGTTAGGTATAAGATTTAAACTTGTAAAACTTGTTAACTAAACTAAAGATAGTACATGCCTATTAAAACTATAAGTGTTTGAAATATTAGGTTTATGTTCTAGTAGTCATAATTGTTTTAAGTGGTGTTGTTTAGTTGTATTTTTATCTCACGTTATTGAATTTAAGTGCGGTTTTTAAACGATTGATTTACGATACGATATAGTGAAGGACCGGTGTAAAGTGTAATAATTTCGTTACATTTTGGGCAACACTTCAAATACCTTAAGAACCCACTAAAGCTGAGCTGCAAAGAGCAGTAAGTACATGAACTGGAAGTTCACCCCGTTCACCTCGTTCAGCAAGAGACAAAACATTCCTCAACTCAAACACAAATGAGCAAATGGTTCACTTTTGAAACTACCACTTAACATTTTAAATTCTTCTTTTTACCCATATCCCCATTCGCCCCATTTTAACATCAATTATTCTACGGCCTTGTTACCACCAAGAACAGAAATAGCAGCATGGTCTAGTGACTGTTGTACGAAATAGCAACGGATATCAATGTACACTCCGTCAACATTTTAGCTGCTTTGGTGTTATGGTTGCATTAATGCCTTTTGGATTTACTCTCAAATTTTCTCACACTTATCTGTAAAAAAATTAGAGCCTAAGTCATTACCTCTCAGCTTTCTTTCTTAAAGTATCAGTTTAGTTCAATTGACTTGGGTGTTTGATTTTCTCAATTTACTTTCGTAATAATACTCTCGCCAATATAAAAAATGCAATACTTATAGCACCAATTACTTAATTTCGATTGTAATACGCATTATTTGCCGCACGTACATAATTGTATACAAGCAGGTATTTCCGAAACGAACCATATTTCTGACCTGAACACGGTAAAATTACATACTTGACCTAAACCGGAAGCTTGATATTGTACGAAACAATTGAACATTATATAAATTACACAATATCTGCACTTAAATTGTCAAGTGTTACAACAGTGATGCTGTATATCATTCCTACATATGTTAACAATTTCCTTTATTCAAGTTCGAAGTCCAGTTGTCCAAATTTCACTACGGCAATTATTTCGGTCGATGCTGGGGGTTGGAACAATCTAGAAATACTTACACACGACAATAATTGAGGTAGTCATAGATCTAACTCCAGCGAAAGTAAGGATACCTTGAGTGACCATTTGTCGTATTTGGTAATTGTTCCACGTGCAATATGTAATTATTATAATATACATTTACATTGAGGTCGAATTCTCTCTTTATATACAATAAACATGAAAAACATATATGGTGTTGTTTCGACAGCATTCTTATACCCGCCAGTATAACATTTTGTCATTAACATATACACAGAAAGGAGAAACACTAAATATTTGTTTCAAAAGCATTAAGTGTTGACCATTTATGACCGACCATAACCATTTAGAGCATTTGTATGTTCGTTATGTTCTACAGGTGATATTAAGCTCTATTAATGTTTTTATGGACAAATAAGAAAACAAACGTCTATGATCTGAACACCAATTGTTTGTTGAACCGTTTTAACATATCAATTGTATATATGGATAACTATAGTGACAGGTGTGTGCTGTACTGTGTACCAATGTCCTTTCATTGACACATTAGGCGAAGGTGCGATTAGGACCACGGAATTGTAAAGGGAGGCCAACCGGCAATTCTTTCCATGTTAAAAAATGATTTTTGAAAGAGGGGATGGGGAAAGCCGGATGTGAATATATTACTCAATAGTTACCGAGCTACACAACAAAATTATCAAACGCTTTCCCCATAGTATTAGAAAATATCTAGGAAATAATCCTTTTTAAATAGTTACTTTTTGGCTGTTTCAATCATAAAACAAAAAAAGATCATCAACTCAAAAACTACTTATTTTTTTTTTTATTGTATAAACAATGCTCCATTGAAAAATAACTGAAGAAAAAAGTCCAAAATTAACATGTTAACTTCGTCTTAAGATTTTCCAATATACAATGAAATGATCAATTTCATTAATAAGAATAACAGACTCAAATCTTAATGCGAAAAAAACAAATTTCCATTAAACTAGCAATTCGTCAACCCATAATGACATATTTTTGATGAAAACAGTCGTGGATAAAGCCAAGTAATAAATATAATGAATAAATCTACATTCGCTGTATTTTTATTACAAAATCCAAATAGAATAGAAAAGATATGCTAATGTCTGTGTTGTAAATGGTTTGTGGCGACTGGAACGTCAAACACGATCTATAATCAGCTATTGAAGCTTTACATAATAAATATCCTTTGTAAGTTGTCTATTCAATCTAAAGAATGTTTATGTGGCGTCTTACACATGAAAGAAGCGACAAAAAATTGGACCATTGGAAGACGTAAACAAAAATAGGCACACACGAGTGACTGTTCTGCGCATTGTTTCGAACGCACTGGATTATGTCCCATCATGTATAGCCAAAGTTATTCAAAAGGTTTCTTATTCTGGGTATTTTCTATCCTGTGGTGCGATCAATTACACACATTTACAAAGATATATTTATCGCGAAATGGAAATATATCGTAACTTAAATAGGGTTTAATAAAACTCTTTTTGAAGAATATCATTTTCAATAGAACCACCACAAGTATATTTATTATCTCACTATGTAATTCCTTGGTAGGTTAATCTACCGAGAGCAGAACAATACAGGGAGTCAACTTGTTTGAGCTCTAGGTATGCGGCTATCTGTGACACTTGGATAACTTGGCGAAAATGGTTCGAGAATAACATCCTTTGTTCATCAACGGTGATCAATTGTTGTCTCTTGCTAAGTTTACAACACCGATACATTGAAAGAACTTCAATACGCTTCTTATATCGCAGGAACAATTAATTTGGAATTACTGCACAGATCACATTCTAAAGTCCAGATAAACACATTTGCCATCTGCTTGTTCTTCAAACTTACCAGCCCTTAAACAACGTGATTCTTGATGAACATACATTCATGTATATGAAAGCACCAAAATTAAACTGGGTTAAACTTTAGTCGTGAGATCAAAAGTGAACGCCTTTGTTATTGAATTAATTTGTCCAAATCTGGTACGAGGAACGGCAACTGGCAACATGGTTTCCATTTAGTTATAACCATATACTATGATAGAAACTGAAATTCACTGCGCTAATTAAGATATAAAGCACTATGCAGTTGGTGGTAGGCTATTCCACTAATAAAACTGTTTCAAGTAACCATTTGTTTATATTGGACCAAAACTTAAATAGTTTTAACATTCAAATTGTCTTCACCAGCTCCTTACACCTATAGTCAAAACATTTCAAGTGGTAAAAATTACTGCTTTATCTGTTGAGAAACATTTCT